CAGCACTACATTCATGTTTTCTGAATTGCGGAAATCATAGGGTCCTACCAAACAGAGCTTCAAAAAAACAAACAGGTTTCTTGAATACGAACAAACAGAAGCATACAGTATTCTGCAAGTAGTATGCTTGTATTTTATTTAGATATTTATATAGCCACGGACTGTCAACTACAAGGTTCAGTCTTTAAAATCCAGCGTTCAATGGAAGGCTGTTACTTTTCACGAGAAGCCTGACAAGGAATGCACAACAGAGAGAGGGCATATATCTAACTCAATAGAGTACAAAAGTTCAATGTTTTTCCACCTTATTGCATTCACTTATGCGGCGTCCTTCAACACTTCTGGCAAACTACTGTCGCGATCCACCCCCGAAAGGGAACACGCTAGAACGCTCTGCATTCAGGTTAACGCTCCTATCCACCTTTAATGTTTAAACTCGAGGTCTGTCAGCCATAAACCTCTCCCGCCGATAAGTGTCATATCTCTCGTTTTGAACCATTATTTTACAACTGCAAAAGATTACAAGACGGGTTCTTTATATTATTTAAGTCTAATCCATCGACAATTAAGATAGGAAATGTGTCATTGCCTGGGCTCAGACAGAACTGTTGTCATTCCCGGAGTAAAGATGCACAAAGGAAGAGTGCTCAATAAATCTTTATTTTAAGAAGATATAGAAACGGCGGCTCACTGTCAAAGGAAAACAGTGCAGGGTTATATTGTCAGTCAGACTGAACAAAGAGCAATCTCTCTGTAGGTTAACTCTGAACATAGCGCCCTTTATGCTGTGCTGCAGTGGGGGAGGGCGGTGAACGACCACCGGTCTCATGTTACGAGCTGTTTTCTTAAGCCACAAATCACATGGCCACTTCCAGCTCTTTACAGCCAGTTGTTGCCAATGTGATTGAGTGCTGTAAATAAAAGCTGCATTGGTATTTTTTGCAAATCATAGGCTTCATCATCATCATCATCATCCCTGGTATCCGTGCAAAAACTGGTGCGATGTCATGGGAAAAAAGGCTGAAGAATTTCACAACTAAACGATATGTGATTTTAGCCCATTGAAAAGACTTGTTTACTGTATACTAAATATATACTGCACATACAAGATTGTAGAAAAGTCTGCTATTTCATGCCAACACTATAATGTAAAATGCTTTTTAAACTATTCTACCTCAGACTTGGCCTATAAATTAAGCAAAACAATAAAAACATTTTTTTTAAATGACTACGTTTCCATGTTACCATATTCTATTTTTATTCCCTGCAACATACAGGAAATAAAGGCAAAGAAACAAAAGCGTTTACAGCTTGAAGGGCAGCTATTGAGTGTGGAAAGTTCTGTGTGCTGATTAGCAGCGGTACAGTTTTGTGACCTCAGGACACAGCCCTGAAAACAAACGGCCAGCATACTGTACACACTTACTCTATACACACAATGACAGGAGCCGCTCCATTCATCTCCACCGCATGAGAGCTGTCTTAATGATCAAAGACCAAGCTAGATTTTGCTTCAAATGGATAGGAAATTAGCATCTAAATTAATCTAAATGTAAAATATTTTCTACTTTATACTTAACTTAAAATATGTAAATAGTTTACATTTTACACTTCAGTGTTATAATATTATTATAAACTACTTTAAACAATATTTTATCATTTAGGATTTACATATTAGTGGGGAGATATTTGAGACCCATAAAAATACAACATTTGAAATGGCTTATTATTGTTAAAAATATATGAACGTCAAAATACATGAACAAGGGCCACATAATAAACTACCTGTACTAATTCTAACGATAAAAACAGAAATAACCATTTAAAATTACATTTTAAAATTTTTATTTAAATTTAACTCACATGCAAATATTAGAAGTCTAAAGACATTTAATAACGACAAACGCTACAACAGTTTTATGAGGGGGCTGGGTAGATTTATGTATGTGTTATTACATTTTACCGCTGACAAAATAAAAACTCGAAATTATCTGCAAACATCACGGAGGGCCTGGGAGTTATTTACTAAGTATTCATGAACGAAAATAGGTCAGAATTGTTTTATGGCCCTGACCATTTACACAGATGTGTTACATATGGTCCATCTGTTTGCAAAATACTATGACTACACAAAAATCATGACTACACTGAAACAAAACAAAGCAGCAAACATGCTTATGTCTGACAGGGGGAAATATATATAAATCAGGAGTTGCAATAAGAAATCTTGATGCAAAACATTTTCATTAAACATTATCTCGTTACTTGTCACTTGTAAGCGTTCAACAAAACATGTTATATACAAAGAGCAACATTTTTATTGGAATTGCAAAAAGGACAAACGTAATATATGTAATATTACAATCCACCAACGATGACTGGGATCCAAATAGAGCTCTACTACACTGCCCCATTGCCTGTCTGACTTAAAGCCTGTTTCCATGTACCAAACGATAAAACCTAGAATACGCTAACGTTTAACAGGCTATTTCAAAATGCC